TCTGAGAAAAGAAAGAAAGAAAGAAAGAAAGAAAGAAAGAAAGAAAGAAAGAAAGAAAGAAAGAAAGAAAGAAAGAAAGAAAGAAAGAAACAGGGGCAAGAGAAGAAGGAGGAGAAGGAAAAGAGCAAGGAGAAGAGAGGGAGGAAGAAAGCCTTAAGTGAACTGATGCGCGTGGAGGTTGGGCTCCTTGTTATACAGGAGTCAGATTGCTGGACTTGGCTTTCATGGCCTTAGCATCATAGCCTTGGCAAGCAAAGATTGGCAGATGGTCCTGAAAGCAGGGGTTGATTGGATACAACAGAAGCTAAGCACATTTGCTCTATGCAGAATGACATCCATGCAAACAAATACTCCAGGTGGTGCATTTATTAATCACGTGCCTTTGAGAATGAGGCAGTATTCTAGGCAGAGGCACACAACTTCCAATAAATTAGAATGCTCCAGTTTCCAAGGACCATTACCAATTCTTTACTAAAGAGAAAGAGATGCAATGCAGGGAATCAGTACTAGAAATCAGTGTGTCCCCTTTCACAAACCATACCAAGGAATCAGCAAGGTGCTGTGTTCATTGTGGGCTCCTTTCTCCACCCACATCCTCCAGCCACAGAACCTTAGGAGCTCAGCTGAAAGGGGACACAAAAGATAACACAAACCCAGCAGCCACCTTTGTCTCACAGGAATGTGAGGACAGACAGACAAGGCTGCAGTCCATGGCCAGTGACTTTGGAGGGCTTAAGGGAGTAGGGCTTGGTCTTGGACTAGATCTTGTCAAGAAGTTAGCATAATTCTTTGATTTGGAAATTTTAGTAAATCTTCCAGAGAAGAAGAAAGCCTCAAGCTGTCACCTTGAAGAACCACTAGTCACCTGTGTTCATTGGGACACTTGGTCTTCATTCATGTTCACACATGACTGTGGACTGTCTTGCTTGGGCCTCTGCCTCTCTGAGCCAGGAATGGCTTTGCTTGATTTTATGTTCTGTGACACTACTTGTGTTCAACAGAAAAGTGTGCAGTGCCCAGTTGACATTATTTGACCAGGTGCTGGCTTCAGGATGTGTCTTTTGCTTCAGTCTTGTTCTTTTTCATCTTTAACAGTCCCAAGCCATGAGGGCTCAATTAATACACATAGAATAAATTAAAAGGTGTTTAGTAAGCAACCCCAAGGACATTCAATGCTTATCTTTATTTTATAGTTACCAAGGTAACTATTAATAAATTTGCATATTTCTAAAATAAAATTTATTTTTATATTAAGAAAACTTCATAGTGAGGAGGCTAATGCAGTTACCAAAGCAAAGTGAATAAGCTGTTTGAAAAGCTGTTAAAAAAAATATAGGGGGCCGGGGAGATGGCTCTGTAGAATAAGCACTTCCCTGGCAAGCAACAGCACCTGGGTTCAATCCCCAGTACAGCATGCCGTGTTGACCATGGAACACCCAATCCTGTGCATGCAGTGCTGGCCACCAAAATCAGAAGTGGTGGCACATGCCTATAATCCCAGCATTGGAGAGGCTGAGACAGGAGGATCAATTCGAGCTGTGTAGTGAGACTCTGT